TTTTAATCCTTTTTTTACAGATCGAGAATGCCCTGAACTGGAACAACCTGAAATAGGAAAGGTGGTCGTGTCTGGACGTCTCTTTGGAAACAAGTAATAAACAATTATTTTGTAAATGAACATTATAATCGGGAATGATAATCGATTGAATACGATTAGAATCGATTCTTTTACAAGAGTAAAAGCTAAAACTATGCCACTCTGGCGGGACGTCAAACGTCATTTTGTGAGGCACTATACCATAGACCGTCATGAAGGACGCACCTTAGCGACGGATCTCCAATTTAAATCCTATTTAATCTATGTATACTATTATAATAAAGCGTAAACACACACTTTTTTGTTGCCTAAGATGTCAGCAATCACAGCATATTTTTGAATAATTCTCTTTTTAATAAAAAGCCTTACACTTACGTCATTCTTTAGACTATGTATTTTCACGACATTAAACATAGGGGGTTAATATTTTGATAAAAACTCTAATGTAGGAAAGAGACCATAAGTTGCTGCCAACATCAAGAAAGCAATGCCATGGTTTGACAACTTGTCATGTCATTTTGTCATTTGCAGTTGATAATTTGACAAATGGCTCTATCTGATGCCGGAATAAAGATAATGCGGACAAATTAATATCAAAATTGTTTTAATATAAGTATCAGATAGTACAATACCATTTAAACAAACTATTGGTTTTAATTCTGTTAGCGCTTTACAAGATTTTATAGGGATTTCTTCTTTCTCTTTTAATGATGTAAATAAGGTTATCCTACACTCCCTATCCTACAGCGACCCGGTCAGTCGCAAAATTGTCCACAAACCTCCACGTATTTTTTATTTTCAATTACCAATATATGTAATGTGTTTTATGTACTAGGGCTACATACTCCTGCCCTCACGGCTATCACGTGGTGGGTCTGCAGAGCCGCAGCTGTCAAGCGGACGGCAAGTGGGCCGGACAACCCCCAGCCTGCAAAGAAAACAGTAAGATAGTTCTACTATGTAATACACAAGCTGGAGTAAATCCTCGTATACAAGAACTATGTAAAAAACGCTTCAAATAGAAGTAATAAAGATGTTAACTGAATTCTAGGAAAATTGAGACTTCGTTTCAATCTATACTATTATAATAAAGCGTAAACATAAACTTCTTAGTTGCCTAAAATGTCAGCAATTACTGCATATTTTCAAACAATTCTTTTTTTGATAAAAAGATAAACTTATTTCACGCTTTAGGCTATATATTTTCCCGGTATTATATTTAGTTGGTAAATAAATTGGATAAAAACCCTAATGTGGGATAGAGACCATAAGTTGCTGCCAACATCAAGGAAGCAAGGTTGTCATCATGTCATGTCAATTTGACATTTGTAATTGATAATTTGACAAATGTAATTAATAAAATAAAATTTCATAATTTCATGCGAATGAAGTCGCACGGGAACAGCTAGTTTGCTATAATTATAGATGGCGCTGAACACCTAAGCTGTAGTTATACCAAGATTGATTCTATACTTTCTAAATAAATACAACACTTATTTACTATTATCTAAAACCGACCTTCAAACATACTGAAAACAATTAGAGCATGCCCACACCTTCGACTAAACTATCGGTCAACAGTTGTGCGATTTACGATTGTTTCGCAGCTAATTCAACTGTTTAGTTGCACAACTAAAAATCGTGTGTGCACCTCCATATAACAGGAATCAAAGCGAGACTAAACAGTTGTACGATAGTTTAGTCAAAGGTGTGCGTATGCCCTAACAGTTTTTTCAACCC